CATTGGAGAGACTAGGGTGTTGCCTACACTCTGAGGCAGATGATATTCCTTCTACTTGCCAAATGTCAGAACATCTAAATGAGTGAAAGTACAAATCTTCCAAAGTTTTTAGTTTACTTTCATTCTTTCTTCTATATCCTCCTGCATTAGCTTCACACAGACGCCTCTGGGTATAAGAGGACAGAGGTCAGAACTTAAAAGTAATTATTAAGTGATAACACTATTTAGTAGTATTTATTCTTATTTTATTAATTCAGTTTAATTCAATATTTAATTTCAATGCTAATTTTTAAGTACTGCTTTGTAATAAACATTTTCTTCAACATCTGGAACAAAACAAACTCACTTTTTATTTGGGACTCTCCCAGCTGTGTGACTGTCATTTGGAAACTGAGAATTTAAACAGAGACATGAGATAAGGCCAAATGCAGCTTTCATAATCCAGCAATGTCATATATTTCAACACAATGTCTTGAATATTTATGTAGTTTAAACATAAATATACACACCCTTTAATGAACAGAGCAAGTGTATTAGAGCTGGTTAGAGTAAATGTAGGTGTCAAAACGAATTTATACATACTCTCATAGCCTTAAACCAGTCACAACAGTCTGGTCATTTGGGTTTTAATCTGCTGTAGACATTAACTATTTTTGTGAACTTAGGTCGTATCTTAAAACTTCTCCTTCCCCCACTATCATAAGTACCAAAATCCGCTGTCATAAGAACTTTTGACTTGGGAGGAATCTATGAAAGAATCTAGCAGCTAGAAAAATACAAATATGCCCCAAACTAGGTTTTATATTTAGAGGATTCAGAGAATCCTCTTCTGCCTCCAAGTCCCAAACTAAACTAACTTCTTGATTTTACAGATACGGAAACTGAGGCCCAGGATAAATGACAAACCTGATGTTCCACAGCTAGTTAGTAGAGAAGTCAGAAGCAGAATTTCAGAGTCTCAGGTCAAATGTTCTCTTTGATTCAAATCACACTAAAAGTTTCCTTTCTAGAACACTAGATTATTCATTTGTCAGATCTTAATCTCACCGAGGGCAAAATCAAGCTTAATCTATACCATATGCCCCAAGAGCTAGTTCAGAACTCACTGACATGTGGAAAGATGTCACCGGCCACACCAGTAGGAATGTATACCCTCTACTGGCTGTGGTCTGTAGTGAAGCACCGCCATAGCCTCTCACCAGAGGCCCCTGGTAAATAAGGACACTGGTTTGCAAAATGCCTGGCAGAAGTGGAGAGTGTAACACATAAAATGATGATTTTCCTTTGTGCAAAATGACCCAACTTTCCTGCTAATCTCAGCTCCACTGGCCTCTTCTTGAACTAACCAAGCAAAGTAGTTCCAACAACCAAGAGTGTCATCATTGAATCACGCTGGGGAGGGACGTGTCGCAGACAAATGCTTCTCTTCATCCTTCCTCTGAGTTTCAGTTTAAGGTGAGGCAAGTAGGAAAATATTTTTGTTAGTGTTCACCATACTTAAAAAAGAAACCAGTCTCATATTTTTAAAAAATGATCTGAAAACTCCTATAAAGCAACAGAGTCAAACAGGTAATACCAGTAATAATAAAATCAGAAAAATAAGAAGAAGAAGAATGGCTATTTCTTTCTTTCTTTTTTTTTTTTTTTGTGAGGAAGATCAGCCCTGAGCTAACATCCATGCTAATCCTCCTCTTTTTGCTGAGGAAGACTGGCCCTGAGCTAACATCTATTGCCAATCCTCCTCCTTTTTTTCCCTTTTTCTCCCCAAAGCCCCAGTAGATAGTTGTATGTCATAGTTGCACATCCTTCTAGTTGCTGTATGTGGGATGCCGCCTCAGCATGGCCGGACAAGCGGCGTGTCGGTGTGCGCCCGGGATCCGAACCTGGGCCGCCAGTAGCGGAGCGTGTGCACTTAACCGCTAAGCCACGAGGCTGGCCCCATGGCTATTATTTTTAGTGCCAGTGCTATGCACCCAGAAGCACATGGCTGACACTACTATAGTAAGTTGTCACAGCAAACCTATAAGGTGGGCATATTAATCCCCATTTTACAGACGATGAAACTGACCCAGAAGGATCACGGGAAAAGGTGGTGGTGGACCTGTGATCTGAATGCAGAACAGTCTCACAGCAAAGCCCACATGCTCACATCTTGTATTTGTTTGAAAAACACATTTTTTCCTAGTTCAGTAATTTTATTGATTAAGATCATTCTTGGCTCCGGATTCATATTTTAGGGACTGGTTTTTCAAAACTTCCTTAAAACAAAAGTCAGACTTAATAAATTTGTGCAGAAAACACTGTGAGAGCTCCTCTGAGATCCAGTCTGTCTGCTCAGAGCAGTTTTTATTTCTCTAGTCATCTCCCTGAGACTCTTCAGGTCTCATAAGCTGATTCCTCCTCTGGATTGTCGCTTTTCCAGGCTCTTGATCTGGCTGGTGACATATCCTAACCATTTCCGGGGGAGCCCAGACACATCTCTCTTCTGGATGTATTTTCTCTTCCTCTCTGTAATCCCATTCTGAACCCAGTCAAAGTCCTTCCCTGCCAGGGATGCAAGCCTTACCCCATCCCATACATATCAGAGAGGGCTTCCACCTGGCCACACTCCCAAGAGTAATGTATGAGAACGTCTTCATCTGTTCCTGAGCAGCGTGCTTGGAACACAGTGCTGAAGCAGACAAATCACCTGGCTACCTAAAATCAACTTGTCTGCTTTCAAAGACCTTTACTTCAACATCATTCCACAGAGATGCTGAACCTAAATTACCGAGCAGTCCCTGAACAAATAAAATACAATCACCAAAAGATACACACAAAATTATTCACTGGAGCACTACTTGTAATGCATCCAAACTGGAAACTACCTAAATGTCCAGCAACCATAAAAGAGATAAACAAGTGAATACCATGAGAACAAGGAGAATGAAAAAATAAACTATATGCAATAACATAGATGAATTTCACAAACATAAGCAAAATAAGCCAGACACAAAAGAATATATACTGTATGATTCTATTTTACATAAATTTTTAAAATAGGTAAAACTAATCAAAGGTATTGGAAATCAGGAAATTGGTTGCTCCTGGGAACATTAGGGGAGGAGCATTCTGGGGTGCTGGTAATTTTCTATTAATCTGCACGCTGTTAGACAGGAGGATCTACTTTGTGACAATCATTCCATCAAGCCATCCACTTATAACGTGTATACTTTCCTCTCTATAGGACACTTCAATAAAAAGCTGACTGAAAGAGCCCTGGAGAACATCTGGTCTGCTCCCCTTAGTTGGCATAAAAGTAACTGTTTCCTGTGAAGGTTAAATATCTCAAGGACACAAAGGAAATCCATGGAAGGGCTGGGACTGGACATTAGATCTCTTAAGGCCCCACCCAGGTACCAAAGCCACCTCTTAAATGCGGAAGGATGTTTCTCTAACTTCCTGCCTTGTTGTGACTACGGCCAAGATTTAGAAGAATTAGGATCACATTCCTATTAAGAATACAACCCAGAAAGTTCCGGTCTCCTACCGACAGCTGTGACAGGAAGAGCATTTAATAACTCAAGTTTTTTTTTTTTTTTTTTGTCAGGAAGATCAGCCCTGAGCTAACATCCATGCTAATCCTCCTCTTTTTGCTGAGGAAGACCGGCTCTGAGCTAACATCTATTGCCAATCCTCCTCCTTTTTTCCCCCAAAGCCCCAGTAGATAGTTGTATGTCATAGCTGCACAACCTACTAGTTGCTGTATGTGGGACACGGCCTCAGCATGGCCGGAGAAGCGGTGCGTCGGTGCGTGCCTGGGATCCGAACCCGGGCCGCCAGCAGCGGAGCGCGCGCACTTAACCGCTAAGCCACAGGGCCAGCCCAGGGGAGCATTTATTTTAATTTATTCATTTATTTTTTAGATTTTTTTGTTTATTGCAGTAACATTGGTTTATAACATTGCATAAATTTCAGGTGTACATCATTATACTTCTATTTCTGCATAGATTACATCATGTTCACCACCCAAATACTAATTACAACCCTTCACCACACACACGTGCCAAATTATCCCTTTCGCCCTCCTCCCTCCCCTCTTCCCCTCTGGTAACCACCAACCCAATCTCTGTCTCTATGTGTTTGTTTATTGTTGTTATTATCTACTACTTAATGAAGGAAATCATACAGTATTTGACCTTCTCCTTCTGACTTATACGAAAAGCATTTGAATGCTATTTAGGAAACGGCAAATCAGAAAAAGTCAGTCAGCACTGTGTTCACACACTACGTTCTGCCACTTACCAGTTGTGTGATTGTCTGCATGCTCCTTATCTCTCGCTGAACCTCAGTATCCTCCTCTAGATCACTGAAATAGTAACTCCTACTTTGCAAGGTTGCCATGAGGGTAATATAAGGTAATACTGTCAGAGCACCTGGCCAACACTCAGAAAAAGTGTTCCCTGAATGAATGTTGAATGAATTGAATTAGTCAAGTGCTTGTCACTTAGTAGAGACTCAATAAACAGTTAAGTATTATTATTATTACTGAGCAAGAGAAACAGGGAGGAAAGGAATAAGATTATATGAAAACATGTCAGTTTTCTAAGCCTATGTGGTCACTAATGGGTCGACCAACAATTCTCACCGGCTTAGACGGGGCACTGAAATGGTCTGTGGGATAAAGAGCAATAAAGGATTTGGGAAAACAGCAGTGCTTTTTATGTGCTACCAGTTCTGTGTTTTTTTTCTTGGTGCCAAATAAAGGTTTAAAGGTTTGCTCATTGACTGCCCCAACATGTCTAAATTCTACAGTCACCCATATTAGTCACATTACTTTTAGAATTAAAAAATTTTAAAGAGGGGGGTAGGTCATAAATTCTCATTGACTTAATGAGTAGACTGACATAGTCAGGTAACTTTACTAACGGGAAAAAATTTACACACTGAGTATACAGAAAGGTAATTGCAGGCTTTAAAGATGTCAGAAATGAACAACGGTGAGAGGTAAGTTTACTTACATTTAAAGAAAACAAGTTTAATACTGATGTTTTCTTCAGCTCTTCAAATCTTGCATGTACTTAGTAGTAAACTGATCCATAAAGTTCTTTTATACTGAAAAGAAACAAATACAAAAAAGATAAAGTAAAACTAATTTCAAATTATAGCACACCAGAAAAAAAAAAACCTATAGATGGCAAATTATTGTATAAGCAAAGAACATCAAACTAGATAACATGTGTGTAATTAAAAAGAAGAAAATGTGTTAAGGACCAATGGGTTTAACTGACTGACTTCCTTCCATCTATCCTTCCCTCCCTCAGTCCTTCCTCCTCCTCCCTCTTCCTCCCTCCCTCCACCCAGCAATCCCTCCCCCTCTTTCTTCCTTACTTCCTCAGTTACTGGAGAACCTCATATATTCCTTGAAGCCTGAGTTGCAGAACAAAACCACCATCATTAACTTTTATAGCACAAAATAACTGGTTAGTACACGTTAGGTACTTTAAGAATGTTTGTTGGGTAAATGAATGAACCACAGTTTTACAATATTTAATTAAGGTTAAAAAAAAAAAAGAAAATTAATTATTTTGTTGTCCAACAAGAACAATATGCAAACAATAAGGGAAATATACACACTGCTCTTTAGACTCGCAATTGATTGATTCCCATATCTCTTTTAAATAACCTATACTCAGGAAAAAATCCCAGTACTATATATATGGGCATATATATCCTTACCACTACAGTAATAAAAAATATTTTGGTAGTGAAGGAATATTTAGGAATCGTATAAGTTCCTTTGAGGGGCTCACTCTTCAAATACCTCATAACTACCTCCATCCAAATGAGAAAGCAAAGTACTTCCAAGTTAAATAGACATATTACCTCACATATGTTTTTCAAACGTATATGCAGTTGGGGCCAGGCCTAGACAAAATTATGAAGTAGGAGTGTAGCTGCTTCCTTCTTCTATCTGCCCTTTTGAGGAGTCAGTGACCCCAGATGCTTAATTAAGTAGGGAAGCAACAGGATCAGCTCTACAGTTCCAACAACTTAATGGATATCCTTCCTGAGGACATTTTCATTTAAAAAAGAGCTTCAAAAGAGGCAGGTGCTTAACACTGAAATAAAATGTATTACTGACAATGGAATTTCAGGCATGAATTGGGGATAGTGGTTGCCTTGAAGGAATTTCTCAACTCAGGTAAGCATCTATCTATTCAGCCTCCCCTAAAGATGGCTTCATATATGACCCATATATACACACCAATCCAGGTAAATTTGAAGCAATTAATGACACATACATAGGCAAGCCCAATTTTAAGACTAGCATATGCTCCAAAGTAAACAGTTACATTAATCAGCAGCTTTCAAAATGAGTGTCTAAGAACCCTACCCCATACGTGTTTCTGAGAACAGAGGCAGGAGTGAGTGAATGTGTGACAGTAGGCAGAACAATTTCACCTTTATCTGTTCTATCCTTTATCCAAGATTTAGTAGGAGAAGTAATTCCTTGAGCTGCTTATAAAAGGGTTGAAACTAAATGATGATTACATTAAAAGCTAGTGCAGAAAATCCAGTGAGTTCATAACATCGCTGATCCAGAACAATAATCATCACACCAAAATCCAACTGCCACCTCTAACAAGGCCTTTATGGGAAAATGAGAGTTCCGGCCTGGCTCCCAGAGCACAGGTCAGCCTGGGTCTGAGCAGGCAGGAGCCAGGTCTTCTCTTCCTACACGGTGCCTTCGTCTCCCACCCTGGAACAAACAGCAGAAGGAAGGACACCTACATCGCCACGAGGACTGAACCAACAGTGAGGGGATGAGACTAAGGTGGGGAGAGCCTGTGGACAGTCCAGAGGCAGGGGAACAGGGGGCTCCAGCAGGGAGCAAGACACAGTGGTTTCTGTGCGCCAGTCACGTCTCCAGGCCCTGTCCCAATCCCCATCAGCCTCCTCACTAGTAATTACATGTGCAAGGTTCAGATACTTCACATATGTCAGGGCCTCTCAGATAGGAATGAGGAAGGAGAAAATCAGTAGACTAAAGAGAAGAGAAAAATATACCTATATTATGTAAGACCCAATTCAAAACAACATGTAAAATTAAAAAAAAAAAAAATTAAAGAGAATTATAAGAAAGTGTTGCCTCAACTTGCTCCAGAGGAATTCACGGTAACTAAGAGGCCCTGAGTATATTCGATCCCTCCCTCAGCACAGAACTCTGATTATTTGGCCCAACCAGGACTGAATACATAAAAACATTTATAAACATGAACCATAGATTTTTTGAGTCTCCATCACGAGCCTCGTTTAAGTCAGTCAAAGATGTCCTTTGTTATACAGCTTTGATCGAATGCAAGAGACTTTAGTCATTTCCTCAGAAACAGACGTAGCTATAAATATGAACTAACCAACACACTCAGCCACTCACCAAAAGGCTCGCTGAGAAGTTTAATTTAAAAACAAGAACATATTATTAAACTGAAAAGTAAGATATTAAAAAAATCAAAACTCATGCCAACAACATTCCTAGCAGAAAAATCCTTAGTGTGATGACAAGCATAATTACAAATAACTTTTGTTTGAATCACAAACCTTTCCTATACAAAGATTACAAAAAAAAACCAAAAACAAGAAACAGTCTGTATTTGTGTCCACTTAATAAAACAAACCCTTAACTTCCTGTCCAAATCTCAGATTTCAAATTCCAAGAAAACCCTCCAAACCATTAAATAAGTGACTTCTGTATATCCCTTTGAGATGGAAAACACATTATTATTGCTTTTCTAAATCTCTCTGATATTCTAAAGCATGACCATCATAATTGAGAGTAACATGTTAGACATAACCATCAGGAAGAAAAGTTACTGTTTATTATAACAATGCCATATTTCATACTTTAAAACTTAATGGAATCCAAAGTCTCCATTCAGGTATGACTTAAAAGTCTAAAGCAGGATCTGTACGCGGGCCAAATACAGCCTGCCACCTGCTTTTGTAAATAAAGTTTTATTGGAACACAGCCATGCCCATTCATGTACATACTGTCTATGGCTGCTTTTGCAAGACACAATGACAGAGTTGAGCAGTTACAACAGAAACCATAAGACCCGCAAAGTATAAAATATTTATTATCTGATCTGGCCCTTTCAGGAAACGTTTGCTGACCTCCAGTCTAGGAAACAGCTACCTCAGTGGACTAAATCTTGACATAAGAAACACTCATCCTGGTGTAGTCATCCTGCTGGATAACCACCTAAGTCACTTAAACCTCAGCTGTTTTAATTTTCTCATTTACCATACAATAACAGATAATAGTTATTGGGAACTTATATACCAGGCTTTATTCTAAGGGCTTTACTTTCAATATATGAACAACGAATTGGTCCATTTAATTCTGACAAAAACCACGTGAAGGAAGTAAATGATCATCCCCGTCTCACAGACGAGGAAAACTGAGGCAGAGGGATTAAATAACTCGGCAAGGTCTCATTGCTGTTAGGTGGAAAATCAGGATCAGAACCTAGGCAACCAGGGTCCAGAGCTGGTATTATTAATCTCTGTGCTATATTGATCATAATTTTAATTTTATAAAAGTTATAGATAATAAAAGGAAATCTCAAAGTGTTTGTTAGAAATGTTAGTAAAGACAGTAATACACACCTCTGGTGGTTTAGGATAAGAGACCTAAAATAATATAAATGGACTTGCATAAACTTTTAAGACCCTTCTGATTCTAATAGCAGAGCTAACCTTCGAGTATTAGGAATATAAAAGCCCATACTATTCTTTATTTTTTACCACAAGTAATCAAAGAATCAAACTAACTGACCAATGGCTATCATTCTCTTGGGAAGTAAGGCCTCTCCTGGCAGTTAGCCTCTTCAGAAAGCTTTCAGGATGAAATCTACCCAGAGGAACCTAAATCTTCCAAATCTGCTCCCCTCTAGGCTTATCCTCTGCCAAGTTTCCATCTGGGAAAGGTCTAGCAAGCACCAACAGAAGTTATGGAAAGACTGTCTTCACAGCCTGGCAAGAAGAGCTCTATCCAGGCACCAACGTCACATAGTTCAGGAGGTCGTCCCCCAGCTGAATCATCCCCACCACTTCCTGAAGTTCTCCAGGATGTCTGGAGGAAATGTGTCACCTAAATGTGACCCAGTGCTCTTTTGTACTGAAAGATAGGTTTATATGATGCAAATAAAATAAGGGGAAAACATACTGCTAAATTACTTATCACTCATTTCACATTTAGATAGAGATGGTCTTAACCATCTTTTTAGTCAGGTTAGTCTGCAACCGGTTTTCACTGTCTGCAGAGTAAAATCCAAATCCTTGAGTTTGATATTTAAGACGCTCCTCGTCTTACTCCTTATCTACTTTTCTAATTGTATTTCTTTCTATTTTGGTCGTTCATGCAACCAGGTGGCCTGTGTTTTCTTCAGCACATCGTATCTATTCCTGCGTCTGAGGCCATCCTCATTCTATACTCCTCTATTTTCTCTTCTACTACCAACATCACATCCAGCGCACAGGCCAAATCTCTGTGTTAAATATTGGGGGATACAGGGGCTGGCCCGGCGGCATAGTGGTTAAGTTCGCATGCTCCTCTTTGGTGGCCCGGGGTTTGCAGGTTCGGATCCCGGGTACAGACATACGCACCACTTATCAAACCATGCTGAGGTGGCAACCCACATATAAAGTAGAGGAAGATGGGCACGGATGTTAGCCTAGGGCCAATCTTCCTCAGCAAAAAGAGGAGGATTGGCAACAGACGTTAGCTCAGGGCTAATCTGCCTCACCAAAAAAAAAAATATTGGGGGATATAATTTGTATTTCCTGGGAGAACCAGATCCTCACAATCCAGCAGGGGAAACATGTCAACAAAAGACTAAACTCAAGCTGGACATTAAAGGTTCAAAGTGCTATGGGACTCTGACTAGGGGATCTAAAAAGACTTGAGAGAGAGGCCATCACTGAGTTGGACCTTGAAGGAAGGGAGAACCTGATAAGAGTGTTGAGTTCATAAAGTTGTAGGGGTAACCAGATAAGATGAAGGTTTACATCACAAACTTCAGAGCCAAATAGACCTGGGTCCAAAATTCTGG